TATATATATATATATCTCATTTTGCCTTCACTTTAGGTGCAAAGCTGGCTTTCGCTGACTGCTTTCACCTTTCTGTCTACCAGTGGAAACTGTACTGGTTTGATTTTGATCTTCCTCTGCTGTTCCACTCTCCCTCCCCTCCCCCCCCTTGCTTTTGCTGCCTTTATCAGTGTTTTGCCTTTCACACCTTCTCGATTTGATTGATTTTCAATTAATCCTGCCCTTTGCTGATTGCTGAATGTTTCCTACTTTTGCTCCTGGCTTCTGCCTTTCCCTTGGCTTTAGAAGATGTGCTCAGCCACGCCGCTGCCAGCTGAGATTGATGGACCTTTTGGGCATCCAATAATATTACCATAGAGATCATCCAGCTTTCAGCCACGTTTTCGCTGTCTTAATTCATCTTTCTCCCTTGTAAAAGCCCTGTGTGATTTTGGGAGCATGGGGGGCGTATGTGTGAGGACGATGGGAATGAGTGGGGAGGCAGGTCAAGGCTAATTCTTGCTGTTTAGGGGCTATTAATTGTACTTTTCATTCCATAATGAGAACGAAGGGATGAATAATAAAATATCTGGCAATATGCTGTGACTGACCCATTTGGAAATAGCAACTACGTGGCCGTGCAGGAGGTTGTGCAGTAATTACTGCAGAAGATTTGTTCATCTGCTCCTCTCATCTCCGTCTTCCTAGTATTACCTGGGCGCTTTCGCCTGCAGTTGCCGTGTTTCAGTTTGTCCCCCAGCTCCATAGCCCATGTCGGAAAGCATTGCAGCTGTTTTCTAACATTTTTATTCGTGCTTTGTTCTGGCTTTCTGTGATGTTCCAAGCAGCGGGATTTCCTTCTCTTTCGCCATTGCATGGCCTAGTGACTCTCATCCATAAGTTCAGGCTATTTTTCACTTTATTTTGCCCATTGCTTCTGCTTAAAATGCTTTCAAACACCTTTGGCTGCTCCCAGTGTTTACACAACTCTAAATATGTCACAGTCTTTAAAATCTCTGTTTCTGGGTAGTCTAAGCTATTATATATTTAGTTCTTCTGATTTCTGCACAGACTGAACCAGCAATTATTGGATCTTTGCATTGCACGTTGGAATTTATTACTAGCCAGTATCAAAACTAGGGTGCACATAGCGAGTGGCGGGATGGTGCATTGGGAACGGGAGCTACGCTGGCTTGTTCTGGTCCTCATCTGTTGTACTCAAACTCCTTCTGCCTTTTGCCATCATAGCACTTGTTCATGTTGTTCTACAGCTTTGGGGTGTCCTGTTCCCTTCCTTTTCTTAAGGAGTTTGGGATATTTGTTTATTTAGATTGATTTTTCCCATGAATTTCCAGCTTTCCCTTTTCCAAGATGAAAACACATACTTTCCCCTTAATCTGTTTCTAAATACACTGGACCCCTCCCTTCTTCCCTCTGCCTTTCCCCATCCATCACGCTTTCCCTGTCATCTTTGATACTTGTATCTGTCCACAACGTAGTAGTCTCCCTAAATACCATTACACTACAGCTGATCCCCTTTGATCATCACTGTGTGTGTTAAATTTAAGGCCACGCGGATACTGTAGGATGTTAGGTTGCTTTGGAAGGTTAAAGAGGGGATGCGCTGGGAGATTAACTCACGGAGGAGTGCACAAGGGTTGAGATAGCTTCAAATTAAAAATGTCAGGAGGGTACGGCTTTTCTTTGCATGTATGGAATAGTCTTGGCATCGTCCTTGATGTCAGGACTGCTGGAGTTGGGCTCCTGGACTGCTAGGAGCCAGGTGAAATTCCATGCTCTTGTTTAGTGGTCCAGTCCGTTTATGGCTGCTACTGTGGCTTGTGATGATTAAGGTTATTTTCATTACTAGCAAATGGTTTTATTACTTTTGTCTGGTTAAATTTTAATTGCTTGCCATATACAACAGACACGTGTACCTACCCATACTTACTTTAAATAAACTGCATTAAAAGAAAATACCTTTAATTATGTCCTTGTGATGAGAAAGTGAGCACTTGACAATGAGGATTCATGTTTTCTCCTCTTTTCCCCCCATTCAGGGAGTGTTTGAAGAGGAGCCCGCAGAGCCCAAAAGCAGAGGGCTCCGATTCGGTGACATCCCAGTCCTCACCGAGTGAAGAGGCTGGAATGATGACTGAGGTGAAGGTGAAAACAGAGGTACCAGATGACTACATCGAAGAGGTGATCTGGCAGGATGACACCAAAGATTCCAAGAAGAACATAAAGGATGGGCCAGGAGATGTACCCGCAGAGATCTGCGTGGTCATAGGTGGGGTTCGCAACCAGCAGACGCTCGGTAAGCTGTGGGGTAACACACCACACTGTTTGGTTCCCTTGGTGCTGGGGAGAGGAACGAAGTTCTGGAGAGCTGTTCATGGAAGCTTGGCTCTGCTGGAGGGACCAGAGCCAAGCTGCAGATCAGTCTCCGGGTCCTGGCTCAGGATTATTGACCTTCTTTAACTTTTGCAGTCTGTTTGTAGCTTGTCACCCCTTGTCACCCATGTCAGACTCCACCAAGATCTAAGAGAATAAGCTTTCTCTAAGAGAAAGCTTATTACTTTCTTTTGCCATGTGAAATGACTTGCCCATCAGTCATGTGCAAAACTCCTGGCGAACCTAGTGGTGGTAGGTTTGTTGGACATAGAGGAGGAGGCGGTCAGGAGGAAAGCCTGAGAAAAAGTTGAAATGCTTTGAGGAAAATTGCTTTGCGGAAAGCAGCTGCTTTCTGTGAATAATTAGATTTAGCTCAAAACCAGGTTTTACAGGTTGCCGTGTGTTTGTTTTTCTGATCACTAGTGACGTTGTGGGAATAATTTTGACTGTTGGCTGGCCATGGTATGCCACTTCCAAACCAGCTCTTCCTATCCCCACGCCACCTCCAGCAATGATGAGAAGGTTTTTCTTTTTTTTTCTGTGAACATCAAACCATCCTCTCCTCCCGCTCCAGGGAAAGGGCTCCTGGAGAGGCACTGCTCTTGCTAAAGGGACTGCCTTGTTGGTTCTGACATGGAGCAGGTCCCAGCAGTGACTTCTGAGGGCCAAAGGCAGTGGCTGATACAAAGAAGAAAGAGCAGTTGGGCCATATTTCCTTGGAGGGACTTAGGAGAATGCTAACTTGCGCTGCCCAGCACTTCTGTTGGGATTGGTTTGTCTTGCAGGGGGAGAGAAAAGAAGTATTGATGTTAGATTTGCCCTTGGTTTTTACTTGATCATCGTCCATGCTGTTGGGAAGAAACCCTGGAGGGTGTCAATCAACTGGCGATTGTATTGGAAGCACTGTTGTCCTGCCTGTCCTCCCTTTCCCAGTAGGACAGCCACTAGGAACGGCAGGGGGGGAGGGCACTGCTGTTTATGCAGGGGCAAAAAACT